CGGAGGGATTTGTTGTATGGGTATCCAACACAAAACAGTTTTTAAAAGAAATAGGATTGTTCAACAAAACATAAAATGCTATAAGTACGAAAACATGACCATAAATTGATCTATGTTATTTAATCCAGCCATGTTATTCGCCATTTTACACTGCTCTAACTTGCTCTTACCCGTTCTTTTCAGACCCATATGTATCTTTGCACTGGTCTGTACTATCTTGAACTTTCTTCAACTAGTACAGTTCCAGTGCAGCCCTAGGTCAGGTCGAAAGAACAAACCTAATGTAAGAATTGACCAATTGCGATCGAGTATTCATAAAAATGGTGACCTTACGATTCGACGATTCTCAACATGAGTGGTCAATTCTTACGTTACGTCTTATGGTTATTGTTATGAAAAGTGTGTGTGGCTAGCTTTATACTATGATCCTTTTTTTCGATAAGGACGGTGGCGGCTCGTAGCGGAGACTTTGGAACTAAAAAAATAATGTATCTAATGATAAGGAGTTTAGACAGCATATTCCTAAATAAAAATTCTGAAGATAAAGTTTTAAAATTCAAATTTCAATTTGTATTACGTAAAAATGCGCACGATACTTATATGCATTAATAACAAAGAAAAAATATATTTTTACAGAAAATGGAATTCTTTAGAATTTAAGTTAGCAAATATTTATTACGATGAAAATTGTATCTCAGAAACAAATTACCTCAATTTTAACTCGGCAATAAAACCGATGAATATAAACACCGGACAATAAAAACGATGAATAGTAATAATACGCTTCGTAGGGGTCACAGACATTTCTATACAGTGAATCTCATTTTATTTATTTTCTTCATTTTAACAAAACGATAGTAATCACAATTAGATAGATGATATCAGTCGCACGCACTTAATAAGGCGATTGGAATTGTTTCGTTCTGCATTCTTCGTCGCCATTACTTTGTTCTTCGTCTCTTATTAGTAACCGTTTTAAGTGACGTATTTAAAGTGATTAGATGACACGATATTTTGCAAAATGGGTATATAAAAAAATTATATTAGTATAAAATATACTTTACAAAATTTATCTAAGTAGTGTATCATGAGATTCATTGATGTAACTTTTTCTTCATTGCTACTTTTTAATCGGGGGATACTCGTTTCTATAAACAAAAATTTAACCCCGATTTAAATTATTATTTACTCAACGTTCCTGTTTCATAAATTACAACGGATTGGTCTTTACGAAATGGCTTTCATAATGAATGTGCCTTCTGTGCAAGGATTTCAGTTTGACAGATATACGAAGCGCCAAAGCAGCTAAAATGTAACAAGAATTTAATAATCGAATATTCAACACGAACCGATAGAATCATCATTTTTATAGATGGGATTTTCAGTAAAAATAGAAAGTAGTAACAGACACGTGGCAGATTATTGTGGTTACGACCTTTTCAACGTCTAACGATACAATTGTACCGGATTACATGTTTATTCAACGCGCAAGTGCAGGATATGCGAGATGGATTAGTCGGTTGTATAGTCGGTTGTATAGTCTTATATCCGGTAATAAATATAGTTTCTACGATAATAATGTATTCTTAATTAGATCAAAGTATTCACGCGGTACAAAAAGTACGGCGTAATTTTAGAAACACACGTACGCGGCGGCAGCGGCTGTGCCAATCGATTAACACCTTCGCTACCCTGGTTTATTTAGGCTCAGTTTCACACAACTTGCTTAAACTAGAGTTGAACTCGTTAGAGACCTATTTAGATAAACATGCACAGTCGCATTATTCATACGTACACTCGAGAGCAAAAACATTTGAACAGTTTTTTTCCAATGAAGTTTCAGCGCTCCGAGTTGTCAGAATTGCGAGCAATTACTGACAGATTTTCGAAGTAATTGGTTGTCTCTTGTTACTGACCAATTACTACGCCAATCCGTTAGCAATTGCTCGCAATTATGACAACTCGGAGCTGCAATTTTATTGAAAAAAATGTGCTCAAACCGTTTCGCTCTCGAATGTACAAGGAAATTGACTAATCTAATGTATCGTGTGTCTGATATAACAGGTATTCTTTCACGAATCATAATTGGTTAATTTCCTTATGCATATATGCAATATGTGACGCAAATTTATCCGGATAGACTTTTAACGAATTAAACTCCACAGTTAAAGTTGTGGAACCAAGCCTTAGAGGACTCTGCCCACAGATTACCTCGTCTTTTTTCCTTTTTACGTAATTGTGTAAAACAGATCTAGTTTAATAATATAGACATAAAATGTTTGTCGTTACACATATGTGACGCTAGTGAGAGATCGTTGCGTCACACATACGTGACGTTGGTAGCGAACGTCTTAACCGTAGCTAGTCTTCTTTTTCGTCACTGACGAGTTTCGATCGCGAGCGATGCTTCTCCTAAACTCGCACGGCAGCGTAGCGGACCGGCGCGTAAGTATTAACAGTCGATTCGCGATATTCGAATCATTCACAATCGTATGAATCCGACGAAGCAGCGGTTCTCAAATCTCCTGTCGCGTATTTATCACTTAAGCCTTTTATCATGTTCACAATTCATAACAAAGCTGTCGTGGTTCTCTCAGATCCGTAATCAGGACTATGGGCTCGCCGAGTCTCAGGACAACAATTTGAGCACCGCTGCGGTCTTAAATACGAGACGTCACGCGTGACGACTTCCTCGAATATACTACATCATGATCGCTGTTCAGAGGCGCGGCGTCACACTCGGACAGCGTCGTCGTCTTTCCTTTTTTTACACATCCTTTTACCCATTCGTATACGATGCGGCCCGATCGGACCGTTATTTAGTACGGGACCACCACGCCGTCGCACTATTTACACCCCCGACAAAAAATCGGCGATACGTCGTCGCGAGGGAAGGACCTCGGCCGGCGAAAGTGCCTCACATTATTGCACATCGGTATCGAGACGCGGCGACTGCGGGGAAGGTCGCGTAACGGTCATGCTTAAATTACAATTAATCTCTACAGGCTAATAATAATGGTTACACATCGCGCTCTTCACTGTTCTACATGTTCACGTTATATAACTACAAGATAAGACGAGACTGGCCAGAACGTGCGCAATTTATTATTGCTTTGGCTATGACGTGTAGTAATATCTTATTTTATTAGGGCTACCTTCGTGGATACTCTAACGTTACGCGTCAGCAAACGGCGAAGCAGCCTCATTCTTTAGCGCGGTAAGCCCGTTCAAAACTCACCCCGCTTTTTCTTTCTCTCCCTCTTTTTTTCGCGAGTTGAAAGTTACAGCGTTGAACAGGCCTGTTCTTTTCCATTCTCTCTCCGCTTTATATTCGCCGCGGCGCTCAGACAGCAACCCGAAACAGCTCTACGTTAACATATCCGCCGTGGACGAACTGAGCAAGATGACGTGCACGGTAGACAGCGTTGGATCGGACCGAAACAACCGAAACAAAAAAAAAAACGCGCGCATTTCCCGTTCCGTAAAGAGTAACTTTGTTACTACAGCTGCTGCGCTTCGAGCGGCAGTAATCTCTGTTTTATGGGGCTTTGCCTTTAAAGGGAAAAGCGTACGGGAAACAAAGCGGCCGATTAATCTTGTTCGGATATTCCCTGCTGCCTCTCGCGGTGGTTTTCGCTTGCCGCGGCCGGCCGGCCGGCTAACTGGCTGACTGCTCTGATATATTCTCGAAGATTACGGAAACATTAATCGCTGTCGTAATGCGAGGGTTTGTGTTCCAGCGGTGTAGCAGAAAGTAAAATCCGTCTCGTGTGTACGGCTTAACTGCGACTGTATGGTGTATTAAATACGCGCGGAACCATGCCAGAGCGTCGACAACACGAGCGACGATCTCTCGCGGCTTACTCACTTATCCCTTACGCTAAATTGCACTGTCGCTTGTTACATACGGACCGAAGCGCACTCGAACGCTCTCAAACGACATTCCCGTCCCCGCTTACACGGAGTCGCCGCTTAAATAGTGTCTCTTTGATCGTCAGAGCTGAGGGAGTCCCGAGTATCTTAGTATGTGCCTCTTTGAATTGATCCTCCGTCACGATCGAAGTCGAAAATCGCTTCTCAGTGCCTGACGTCTACCTCGTCCGTCGCCTGGTTCTCCAACGTACAGGGTCGATGAAACTCTTGGCCTCGCTCGTGTAGCCATTTGTTCGCGACTGCAACGTGAAAAAAGTAATAAATGCCAGTTGCGAACTCTCTCGTACAACAGCAGCTCGCTTTTATTTAACATACCCCACTTCGATCCCGTAAGCACCGGGCAAGCCGCGTGTCTGGTCTTGAAGTCACCCTCGCCGTTGGGTTTGAGATTGTACCAGAACGCCGCGCTGCCCTTGCGCGGCCAGAGCGAGATGTTGATGGCGGTAAACACGGTGCCGCCGCCTTGCTCGACGTCGCTCATCTGCAAACAACAGGAAACAGTCGGTTGCAAGCCGCCAACTCGCGACTAAGTTGCGCGCGGGGTCGAGGGATACTTACGTAATACAGAACTGTAGCAATTCTATTGCCGGTCCCGAGGCTCTTAAACGCGTTCGTCTCTTCTTTCTGAAAGGGCGAGAAAAGAAGAATTATTAGTCATGCATAACATCGCGATAGAAGGACGATTCCGCGCGCGGAAGATATCTCACGCGTGGACGATATCGCGCTCTGTCGAGGTCGACTCACCCTGGCGAAATCGAAATGCGGCTCGTAGTGGCCGCCGATGCCGTAGTTGACGACCTGGAGCTCCTCGGCGGTCTCGACCGACATGCTGGTCATATGCTCTACGCGTTTGCTCACCGCCGCCACGTGCTTGTGCTCGTGTTCCTGGAGCCATGCGCTCTTGCTGATTCGGTAATTCGCTATCTCCAAGGCGCCAGTCTTGTAATTTTGTACCGTGGCGCGCTTGAACTGCAAACAAAACACAATCGCCGTTATTTCAGGAATCTCCGCAATCACGAAGCGCGCGTGCCTGTACGCGCGTCGTGAGACGCGCTGTTCAAACGGCGGGGAGTAACCCAGCGATATTTTCGTTTCAGCAGAGATAATTTTCGCCAGGAGACACCCTCTGCGTGTCCGAACATATTTACCCTAGGTTGGGCCATGCGCTTGATCGTCTCGATCTCGTCGTCGTAGATTACGTTGTGATAAACAACTATCCTGGGATCCAGATACGCCTCCTCCTCCTTGAACGGCGCGATCTTCAGGAAAGGAATTCCACGGTCGACGTAACGACACTTGAGATTCTTCTCCACCTCCAGCGGAATAGATACCTCGCCGCGACAAAGCATCTCGTATCTCTCCCTCTCCGTCATCTCCTCCCACGTTTTCACCCTTTCCTCGGCGACAGTAAAGTTCTGCAAGCGCGATAACGAACTTTATGAACGCTTGTGCGAACGGGATTACTCTTGGTGCTCTCTCCACTTTTCTCTCTCTTTCTCTCTCTCTCTGTTTGCGTCTTCAAAAAAAAAGACGGTCGGCGAAAAGTTTCTTCCGTCCGTTTAACGATCTTCTCTGAAAGCGCGCGGAGATATAAATTGCTTGCGTGAGTTAACGTAACGTGCCGTGATCGTTCAGTTCGACGACAAACGAAATTATTGAACGCTACGTGCGCGCGCGCTCTCATTACTACTTTCGTTAAACCCACTTATTCGCAATATGTAATTTCCCGAATGAAACACAGCCATTAGTTGAGATGATTCGAGGAGTTCACCTGTTCCGGTATCGCCGTGTCGTCTTGTCCGTCTTCGCCCCGCTTCTTCTTCGACTGACTGGCCTTGCTTTGGATCTCCTTTTGGTAATACGCACGGTTTCCCAGCGCTCTCTCGTGTGTCGGCACCAATTCCAGCAGCTCGTTCGTCATGCTCAAAGCGCGGGCGACGTTACCTGGTAGACAGTAAGGATGGAATAATGTATTTGCACAACGGGCTGCTGTTACGTTAGCGTTAAGCGGCAGCGCGACGAGTGTCGAACGAGTGACAATTGTTTCTTTAGAAATAGCCCCGCGTTGCTCGACATGCGCGGCATGCATATATAATTCCTCAGAGTAAGAACCTTGCATGTACGTTGAAAACGCCAAGTACTCTAAGATGTCGGGCTTCGAGGTGGTGGTCGCATTCTGCTCCTCCTGCAAACGATCCATGGCCTCCTGCATCCACAGCACCGTGTGGTAGTAGTCGCGGTTGTGATAAGACTGCCGGCCCAGCTCGAAGCAATCGCTCGCTGCAACGTGAAATCGTGAGAAACTGCACGCGACCGAAAAAAAGATCGAAAAGGAGAGAAAGATCCAGCCGGATAATGCGAGCGCGGTGTGTGTCTATCGCGTTTCATTAAACGTCTTTCACGAGGCAAGAGAAGTCGGGAGTGCATTTCTGAATTGGATTTCTTTCCACTCGCCTCGCGGCGGCAAGCACGCGGCATACTGATGCTGAAAAAGTTAGTTCGTTAATTAATTTTCCTCACTCTCTGCGAACCGCGAGCCGCGCCTCTCCGTCTTTCTTTTCACCGCGGAACTCCTGGACTGCCGCGCATTATGCGCCTCTCTTTTCTTTTTCATACCGCAAGGAGCAAGCTGCGCGTTATGGAATTTATTGTTACGCGAATCACACCGAATGATCCTTTGTATTGTTCGGTGAGGTCGCGGTGAACCGCTGCTCTCCCTCCCGGTGTCGACTGCATCGTTGTCGTCGTTGTGCCGCGCGAGAGGATAATTGCCCGCGAATCCCGACAGTTCGTGACAATTGAATTTTCGCCGAGAAGAGAAATTGCACGGAAAAAGAAATTTGGTTGATTTAACCGAATGTCTGGTGAAAAATATGAACAAGCCAGTTTCAAGTTATCAGAATTCTGTTCAAGTTAATAAGATTCTGGTTAACCCGAAATCTTGTTTGCTCAATCAGAATTTTGTTAACCTGAACGGAATTCTGGTAAGTTCAACCGCGGAATTCTGGTTCGTTCATATTTTACCAGACATTTCGTTAATCCAATCGAACTTCTTTTTCCGTGCGATTTCTCCTCTCGACGAAAATTCAATTCCTCGCGTTTTTCGCGCGTGAAATAATTCTCCCGGTAGGAATCCAGATTCCATACGTTACCCGTCGATGGAGTTGAGCCAGGTTGCACCAACCGAGCGGTAAAACAACTGTCGGTAAAATAACAGTCAAATCATATGTCTATCTTCGTTTTTCCCCTCAAAATAAATAAAGACAGACATATGATTCAACTGTTAGTTGGCTTACTCCCCATTCAGTTGGTGCAGCCAACCCCTATTCGTCACGTGAGGATTTCAGACGTCCCCGTGTAGATAGATTCGCACAATCTGTGTACGAGAGAAGAAGAAGAGGTCGAGAAATGTCGAGAAATGTGTTACACGTACCGGTCAATCCGGTGCTGTATTGCACCCCATTCAGAACGCCCTTTGCAACCTGCGCGGTCTCGAGCTTATATGTATCCTGTAGCCTCATCAAAGCGACAGCGGCGCCATTGAGGTCCTCGTCGGTCGGGAATTTCAGGTCGCTCCTGGAATTCGTGATGTTCGCGACGAAGGACTTGCCAACGTCCTCGGTTATCAGTTCCTCGACTCTTTTCCAGTCGGTGGTCAGTCGTTTCACCAGCAGATAAGCGTTTATGGGATTCGACAGGTACTGTTGGATGTTCCTGGACGCCTCTTCGTGTTCTCTCGCATAATCTTCCACGTTTCTACAAGAAAGAAGGGAAAACGGTAAAACACGTATCCATTTGATCGGAAAAAAGCTGTGACAGCCAATCAGTCTTCCTGCGCTCTTTCTCTCTCTCTCTCTCTCTCTCGTTCCATTTAGCGCTTCTAGGACATTCTCCGCCTCCTGTCTCATCTTTTCGATCTCTATCTCGTCTGGCGGTAACAGGATACACCGGAAACAGTTTTGGTGCTAAGTCCACATTCGATCGAGCAGTTCGCGCAACTTCTAATGGCGTGAAATAATTTATCAGGCAGTTGAAGGCTTCCTAGATTATTCAGTTGGACTCTTTGCACAATTCGCGCGCATGTTAGTTGCGTCGTCGTCGTCGTCGTCGTCGTGAGAATTTGCCACGACCGGCGAATTTCAGCTGAATCAGTCTCTAAATAGCGTTGAAATTCAGCGGCAGGATCGCGTGTTGCGACGAACTCCCCGCCACGCGGACTTGCCGCGGGCTCTCGCGACTCCGAATAATTTATGCTGAAGTAATCAATGTTATTTTGCGAAACTAACGCGTTTTGTTCCGTCAGATTTTCCTAGCCCTCTCCGACACGATCCCGCGCTTTAAACCAACACAGGGCGGCGATTTATCCTCTTCGCGTAACTGAGTCAAGCCAGTCGCGGGAGTTTCACTCGCAATCATTCCGCTTAGTTCTCCAATTAATTGTTCGGTACTCGCCCGATCGTTAAGTAATTCAGAGTCCACCGGACGACGATGACTTCTTATCTCTGCGAAAGGGAGAAAAGGAGGAAATGAGAACGGGTGGAAGAGGGACGGAGAAAGGGAGTAAATTCTGTGCGACTTGCAGTCCAATTACAATCGGGACGCGATTCTATCGTGATATCAACTTCGCGGCGAACGACAGAGACGTTTCCGACACCTGGCGACACCATTGTCCTCGGCGTTGCACGGTACTCGAGATGCGGGATGTCTTTCAAGGGAGAGAGAGGAGAGAGAGAGAGAGAGAGAGAGAGAGAG